GAAAGCCTTTTAATTAAGAACCCTGCAACAAGCACATAAAGCAATAAAACATAGTCTATCGATCGAAAATAAAACTTCACAACTCGTCAGTGCATTTCATGACGCAGTTGACAGTTAGAATCCTGAGCATCATCAAAGCGGTACAATACGTTACTCCAAGAATCAACGAACATATTCGTACAGATGACTATGGCATACAAACCAATACTTCGTTTGACTTGTGCATTCTGCCATGTACTGCGCAAATCATATTACTATAGAAAAATGACTAAAGAGTGCACGTTTTTAAAAGTGTTTAACGTAAACTATAAAGGCATACACGTAAATTTTTAAGTGCAATGTAATTAAGTGTAATCTTCAAGCGAAACAATTACTGAGACAAGCACTAATATTGATGTTCAAAGTTGAAGTCACATTTTCACATTAAACCACAGTAAAGACGGTTTTGTGGTACATTTTAGCTTCTGTCTCTGACACTTAAATGAGTATATTAACTAGAACTGTAGTAAATGTATGACAACATGACGCGGCAGACAACAAACTTCCACAGTTGGCAGCGAACCAATCATGCAACCCTTCGTAATAATTAGTTTAAATAAGCTTTTGAATAAACTATGGCTCTGGCAGCCGGTTCTTCCGCAGTACAACATTTTGCTGCGGGTCAATCGTTCATTTTCGAAACAGTTACGAGTTACCATTCTGTCAGATATGCTTCCTGAGAAAAGAAATACAAATAATACCGGTCAAAGGTCAACAGAAAGGTCTGCACTGAAGAACAGAAGCTATGCACAATAGAACAGAGCCGAACGAAAAGCAGAACGAAAAAAACGCCAACAGCAGTTGCTGTAGAAGTACAAATACGTAAGAACACAGCTGCGTAAAAGATGGGTTCTGACCTGTACCACTTAAAAGCCAAGCCATCGTCATTAATGTGTAGAATAGTACGCCGACCGTAAAGGCTTTATTTTCTCTTTGATCGCCGACGGGTAAACCAACTCTTTCGGTTGTTCCCAGGTGAATTCGTTGTGGCCAAAATGTCCATTCTCGGCCGTCTTTTCGTAAATTGGACGCAGAAGGTTCAGATCCCTAAACTCAAGGTGCGTTACTGACAAAGAAGCTAAATTCAAAGTCTCGGGTTTCACCTGATTATCATCCCAGGCCGAAGGTCAAAGTTCGCCTTTACGATTTCGACCAGTTCCGTTCCTGACAGCGGCGAAGTGCCATAAGAAAAGACCGCCAAACTAATCGGCTCCGCTATTCCGATTGCGTACGAAACCTAAAAAATTTATAAATGCGATTTTGAAAGTATAGCCTAATACGAACTGCAGTTTTATCGGCTAGATGTCTAGGAAAGGTCAGCTGTCTGATTCAGCTACGATTTAAGATCACAGGAATTAACATGCGTATACTTGGCTAAAATGCTACATCGGAATGTGCTGAAGAGGTTTGTGAACACTCAGCGGCGTGCGGACGACCGCATGTACGTGGGTGTTTTAAATTTTTGAAGTATATCCCTATATACTCTAATACAACTTATGAGTAAATAAAGACAAATTTACATTCATATCCATATACTCATTTATGAAGATTAATTTACATCGATGGGGCGAAAGAAACTACAGCATGGGGAAGATTAAACAAACGCACTTGAGACCAGCATATGAATGTCTGAACACAAGCAACGGTGAGGATTTGTCATCAATGTTGAAGAAAACACCTAAACAGCTGGCGAGAAAGACCAACACTGAATTAATTCACATGTCAACTTGAAGCATATTACGTAGCAAAAATTCGTATTGATCGTATTTGCACCTCATGAGCATTCTACAATATGCAACGACATTGTTTCTGCATTACATATCGTTTCCAGAAGATAGATTTATGGATCCGAAACGTCAGTAACGATGATTTGCTCAATAAAGTTTATATCGAGTAAATTCGATGAAGATTTTATTGATGATCAGACATAATTCATGTTATGTAAGTTAACTTTAAGGCTGAACTTAGCACGTGTTCCATTTCGAAAATGAACATGGTCCGTAATTTTGAATGTAACAGCATTATGTAAGCTGAAAATGTTACAAACGGCGAAAATTGAAAAACTCCTGTTAATCGCATATTGGCACACAGTGAAACAGATTTGAACACATATAATGCTTTATTTTAAGCAAAAAATGTATTCATGCAAACGCATTTGTAACTGGGCGGTTCTGATTGCGCTGTTTTGATTGGAAACCGACGCAGACTTATAAACAAAGCAGCGTAGAAGATATTATGAAAGCAAATCTTTCAGAAACTATTGGATAAAGAGTATGTATTTTTCTCCTAAGAGAATGGTTCGGCAACTTGTCCCAATTTCACCCTCGTTCACCATATATCCAGAAGAGTGACGGAACAGAAACAATCGTATATATGGGATAAAGGAGTACCTCAGGGATTACAAAAAACATGCTAGGTCAAACACTGTATTTATCGCTTTGTTTAGTCGTGCATTTATGCAAGGTTCAAGATTCT